ACAATACGTGAATAGCAGATATAATTCCTATAATTGCCCTAAGTATTCTAGAAAAAAAAATCACTTGTGTTTATTTTAAATTAAGATTCATAGAGATTCGTACAGAACTCAATGGTACATTTTGTTAAGAATCTCGTATGCCATCTTTTTTTTAAATTTGTTCTATAGAACCAGTTTATTTTCTTCGAATTGTCTTGCATGTTAAAGCAGGTATAGAAAATAACTCTTCATTAGGTTTGCTCTAAAAGGGAGAAATGATCAATTAGATACTATTAAGAAAGTATCATTAATAATTCTTCTAATTTTTCAGTCTCATTAAAGATAATTAAACTTGATTCAATGTTAGCAAACCAAATAAACATTCTTAGATTATCATACATTGCCAACTGTGACACAGCTTCAAGTGCGATCACTCTGAAGCTTTTGTATTTTGATCAGTCAGTACATTTTACAAGAACTATTGGAGAAGTTCAAATAGTGAGTTCGTTAATACAATTGTAGTTTGTGTCTGATATTTTATTTTTTGAAATTTCTGGCAGAACAATTCATTTTGTTATTCTAATGTTTTAAATTAGATATGCGTTGATCTAAGCATTGCTTTGTCGGATATTTTATCACAGATCTCAAATTCAATGTATTGAGTACTCTTTTTAACCTTTCATAACACATGTCATCCGATACTAACAAGGACGTGGCTGTGTATGTCGGCGTAAGTGCACTAGGATGCCAGTACCCACACTTCAGCTGAAACTTATTGGAAAACATGTTTAGAGTTCATAAATTTTTTACGAGTAGTCAGATGTTTGCCTTCAGAAATAGTGATAAAACACAACGCTAAAGCTGTCAGTGAAAGAGGTAGTAGAAAGTACAATATCAGTTTACTAAGTAAATAAACTACCTTATTTAGTCTGAGGCACATGCGAGTTCGTTTTTATTTCTTGTGATGTGTGTTATCTTTCTGGATAAGATAAGACAAACGTTTTTATAGTCATTTACATTCAAAAAACATTCATTTTTATTTAAATTCACTCTTCTAAAGTGTTTGGTTTTATTTTGGAGATGGCTGATATACAAGCTATAAGAGCTGAAGTTGTTGTTGGCTGGATTGTGTTTCTATTAATTATGAAAAATATTGTTCTCTTGATCCTACTAGCAGTTCTTCGTCGGCGAGCTGGTGTTTTTCGAGCACCTGAAGATGTCGAGCAGTTTCATGGGCAACAGTATGTAAACGAGAATGATGATTGGTCTCTTAGTGGTCGTGTTAATCGTTGCCTTCGAAACGATGCTGAATATGTACCATATTTCTTGGTTCTCTATATGCTCTTATTTTGGACATGGGAAGAAATATCGACACCTCCATATATTCAATATAATCATATCCTTTCACGTGCTCTCGCTTATGGTATATTGATGGTAATCGCTCGATATTTACATAATCTGTGCTACATGTTCAAAATAACATATGGCAGAATTTTGGGTTTTCTCATAACAGTTTTTGTATTGATGGTCATGTCAATAGACATCTGTTACTACTTAACAAAAAAACTTCATCCAAAACATTAAAAATTCTTAGTTTGTTCGACATATTTTAAAAATTTTATTCATAATTTAAATTTAAAAATAAATTTAAATTATCAGAATTTATATTTAAAATAAATTTAGCTTAAGACAATTTAAATTTATTTTTAAATGTAAATTATGAAAAAAATAGCCTAAATTAATTTTAAATTTAAATTACCAATAATTTAATTTACGCAGTAATTAAATTGAAAGTAAATATAAATTGACACTCCTACAAGGCCTCTATTGCATCCACACTCATATAATATTTGTTAATAATTTTTTTGAAATCAAAAAGTTGTCGCTATTTTGGCTTTTCTTTCTTTTTTTACCTTTTTCTTTTCATCAAAAAAATTTTAATTTTGACCACAACATATATTTATATATATATTGTGACGATTTCTGATGGACGAGATACCAGTTAAAAGCTACTCTAAGTATATTTTATTGGTATAACAAGAAAACGTTCCCTCCCTGTATTTTTCTCGTCCCTTATATACTACTTCGTATATACAGGATAACCTTGAAAAATACGGAGGACACAATAACAGAAAAATATGAAAAGAACAAAGGTTAGAACATAGTTATGGATCATGCTAAGTACGAGGAAAGGACATACCAAGTATGCTATTCCAAAGTACATAACTATCGGAAAAGGGTATTGTCATTATTCCTTTTATGGATATGCATGAGAAGAGAATATGTCCTTCCAAAGTATACATGCAAAACGGAGAAGGATATTATAGTTATTTCCCTTACGGATGACATTATGTACGAGAGAAGGACAAACTAATGGTATCATAGAAGGTTGGAGCATTGCATATATGTTGTGGTCAAAATTAAAATTCAGTCAAATTTAAAATTTGCCTAGTCAAAATTGAAATTTTAATTTCGTCTTGACAAAATTGAAATTTTAATTTTGTCCAATATGATCTCAGTCAAAATTCAAATTTTAATTTTGACCAGACAAAATTAAAATGTGTTTCTTATGAATAGGAAGTCTTAAAGAAAGAAAAACAATTAAGATAAAACAAATCTCGTTTATTTTACAATTAGTGGCGTAACAAAGATTTTTGTATATGTAAACGCTGGGTCTTAGTAATCGAGCATGGGATTCAGATAAAGTTTCTGGAGAATGACATTGGGTCCAAATGATCATTTTTTATCAAAAAGTTTTCTCGATCAAAGTTTGCGGAAAAAAGTTTTCCCCTATTCCTCATCAACATTTTTTTCCTCTCAAAACGAGATACCGGGATTTATTCTTTCAGAATTTATTTCCTCTATGGCTTTTATTAATTATGATAATATCTCAGCACACCCACACTCACCCTGTATGTATTAAGGAATAGCGTGGGATTTATCCGAAATGCTTAACGATTTATTGAAAAGTCCGAATAATCCCCAAAAAAAATAAGTCCCGGTAGCTCTTGAGGTTTTCTGTTTCTCTCTAGTTCGGAGTCAAAACGGAAGTCTTGGTCTTCAGGATCCTGTAATTCAAGATAGGAAGGTCAAAAACGAAAACGGCCGATTTTACCTATGAAGAATATTTTCAAGTATCTATAGTGAAAATTTAAGCTCAATCGAACAAAGTTAGAGGGGAACGAGTCATACGCAGATAGATTCGAAGAAACTCATATTTTATGCTATGCTAAATAAAAGAAAAAAGAATTTTGTTACGATTAGTATGAAAAGTGAACTTCTTAAACTCAGTAACTTTGTAACAACAAGATATTTAGGGTCGAGAGATGTGTTCAATTTTACAGGATACTTGGGACTATCATACCTTATACCAAGCTCAAAACCAAGTTTTTAGTCAGAAAAAGAGAGAATGGGTACCACAAACAGAAATTAGCAAACATTTAATCAAACATTCTTATTATTTGACTTTTATTGTATTAGAAAACAATCAGAATAGAATCTGGTAGTTCAAACAAACTAAATATCGATAGATGATGTCAGAAATGTCGGTCATTTTGGATATATCGATCATTAGCTTATTTATCATGATTAAAGTAAGATTATTTTAGTTTTTCTTTCTTTTTGATTTTAACAACAAAAAAAAAATATGAACAAGAGTTAAACAAAATAACAATCACACGGACATAACATGGATGTTTTTCAAACATACTCCTTTCACATTACAATGTATGTTGATATTAAAAGAAGAAAACAAAATAGAGTCTATGAAATGATATAAAAAATACCGAATAACATGTTCCAATTGCTCGGATTTAATGATGACTGGGTCGTGATGATGCTCAAATAATATTATCAAGACATAATATCATTTCAACTGCTTTAGCTGCT